TGTTTATACAGTGGGTACGGAAAGTATTCAGACCCCCTTAAATTTTTCACTCTTTGTTATATTGCAGCCATTTGCTAAAATCATTTAAGTTCATTTTTTTTCCTCATTAATGTACACACAGCACCCCATATTGACAGAAAAACACAGCATTGTTGACATTTTTGCAGATTTATTAAAAAAGAAAAACTGAAATATCAGATGGTCCTAAGTATTCAGACCCTTTGGTCAGTATTTAGTAGAAGCACCCTTTTGATCTAATACAGTCATGAGTCTTTTTGGGAAAGATGCAATAAGTTTTTCACACCTGGATTTGGGGATCCTCTGCCATTCCTCCTTGCAGATCCTCTCCAGTTCTGTCAGGTTGGATGGTAAACGTTGGTGGACAGCCATTTTTAGGTCTCTCCAGAGATGCTCAATTGGGTTTAAGTCAGGGCTCTGGCTGGGCCATTCAAGAACAGTCACAGAGTTGTTGTGAAGCCACTCCTTCGTTATTTTAGCTGTGTGCTTAGGGTCATTGTCTTGTTGGAAGGTAAACCTTTGGCCCAGTCTGAGGTCCTGAGCACTCTGGAGAAGGTTTTCGTCTAGGATATCCCTGTACTTGGCCGCATTCATCTTTCCCTTGATTGCAACCAGTCGTCCTGTCCCTGCAGCTGAAAAACACCCCCACAGCATGATGCTGCCACCACCATGCTTCACTGTTGGGACTGTATTGGACAGGTGATGAGCAGTGCCTGGTTTTCTTCACACATACCGCTTAGAATTAAGGCCAAAAGTTCTATCTTGGTCTCATCAGACCAGATAATCTTATTTCTCACCATCTTGGAGTCCTTCAGGTGTTTTTTCATGTGTCTTGCACTGAGGAGAGGCTTCCGTCGGGCCACTCTGCCATAAAGCCCCGACTGGTGGAGGGCTGCAGTGATGGTTGACTTTCTACAACTTTCTCCCATCTCCCGACTGCATCTCTGGAGCTCAGCCACAGTGATCTTTGGGTTCTTCTTTATCTCTCTCACCAAGGCTCTTCTCCCCCGATAGCTCAGTTTGGCCGGATGGCCAGCTCTAGGAAGGGTTCTGGTCGTCCCAGATGTCTTCCATTTAAGGATTATGGAGGCCACTGTGCTCTTAGGAACCTTAAGTGCAGCAGAATTTTTTTTGTAACCTTGGCCAGATCTGTGTCTTGCCACAATTCTGTCTCTGAGCTCTTCAGGCAGTTCCTTTGACCTTATGATTCTCATTTGCTCTGACATGCACTGTGAGTTGTAAGGTCTTATATAGACAGGTGTGTGGCTTTGCTAATCAAGTCCAATCAGTATAATCAAACACAGCTTGACTCAAATGAAGGTGTAGAACCATCTCCAGGATGATCAGAAGAAATGGACAGCACCTGCGTTAAATATATGAGTGTCACAGCAAAGGGTCTGAATACTTAGGACCATGTGATATTTCAGTTTTTCTTTTTTAATAAATCTGCAAAAATGTCAACAATTCTGTGTTTTTCTGTCAATATGGGGTGCTGTGTGTACATTAATGAGGAAAAAAATGAACTTAAATGATTTTAGCAAATGGTTGCAATATAACAAAGAGTGAAAAATTTAAGGGGGTCTGAATACTTTCTGTACCCACTGTATATACACACACACACACACAAAACAGTAATATTGAGAAAACATTACAATGTAATTTATTTTTATATTATTTGTTTTTGCAATTAATAAATGTAAATGTTACTCCAGTCTTCAGTGTCACTTGATTATTCATAAATAATTTTAATAAGGTTTGGTGCTCAGCTTCATATTTATTGTTATCAACACAGTTTTGCAGCTTAATATGTTTGAAGTAACCGTGATACTTTTTATTTATTTTATTTATTTATTTTATTTATTTATTGATTAATAGAAGCTTCAAAAGAACAGCATTTATCTAAAACAGAAATCGCCGGTAAGTGTTTTTACAGTCATCAATTGAATGCATCCTTGGTCAATAAAAGTATTTATTTCTTTTAAAAATCATGTTACATGTAGAATATTTTAGCATGTATTCCACAAATTAAATGTGAAATTATAAAATTGTCCTGTAGAAGTTTACATACAAATGTTTAAATACTATTGTTTTTATAATGTGTTTCCTCATTGAGCATCATTGACTGCTTGTAACTTTTAGGATCTCAACATCATGAAGAACTCAAACATACAGTGCTTGCAACCTAATCAAAGATCTTACAGGACCTGGAGGCTTTCTGTGAACAAACACTAGGCAGGATGGTACAATCTTTAAAACCAAGGTATGTAAGCAAAATTATTTCAGTTGCTATTTTGACTTGGTAAGTAGTGCATGTTTTTTTTTATCTTAAACATATGAGTCCATTTTTATTCATAGATTCACATCTAAGTTCTTCTAACCAATAACTGTACCCAAATGCTGATTATAATGACACGGTCAGAATGTTTCCCTCTCTGATCAGCTCTTGTGGCATCAGGGTTGCCTAGCAGTATAGATTGATCATGGCATTGGCCGGCACTTGTATGAGGGGTTTCTTTGGCGACAGCCGTCCTGATCTGAGTACCTGTGAGTCAGCATATGAGGGCTTGATGCCGTGTGCCGGGCCGAGGACTGAGAGCAGGGCTGTGATCCAGCTGCTTGAAGGATTTGTGATGAATGACGTGAGTAGTGGTTAGATATTCTGAGGACAAGACGTACAGGAGACAGTGTGACTCTGATTCATGGAGGTCATTAATGACAGTGAAGTTTGAAATGTTTTCTTCCTCTTTGACTTTAAAGAGAATTGAGAATGGATGACAAACATAAAACAATTCTAATGAAGTGTGTGCGTGTGTGTGTATTATATGTGACTCTGGACCACAAAACCAGTCTTAAGTCGCTGGGGTATATCTGTAGCAATAGCCAACAATACATTGTTTGGGTCAAAATTATAGATTTTTCTTTTATGCCAAAAATCTTTGGGATATTAAGTAAAGATCAAGTTCCATGAAGATATTTTGTAAATTTCCTACCGTAAATATATCAAAACTTAATTTTTGATTAGTAATATGCATTGCTAAGAACTTCATTTGGACAACATTAAAGGCGATTTTCTCAATATTTAGATTTTTTTGCACCCTCAGATTCCAGATTTTCAAGTATTGTCCTATCCTAACAAACCATACATCAGTTTATATTATATTATATGTATATACTAGTATTTCTTATTTTTAAGATTTTTAATGTTTTGAGTTTCAGATTTTCAAAGTGTATGTTAAAAACTAACAATACTGTAACAAATACTAATAATACTAATACTATACATTATTTATGATATAGTATTTATACAATAATTTTCTTAATGATATATATTTGTTTTATGTGTGTGTGTGCATGTTTATGTGTTTTTTGAGGACACAAATTTGTATAATAACATGGGTATGACATAGGTATTACAACGAGAAGATGATTTATGAGGACATTTTCAGTGTCCCCGTAATTCAAAAGGCTTATAATAATTCAGAATGAGTTTTTTTGAAAATCTAAAAATGCAGAAAGTTTCCTGTGATGGGTAGGTTTAGGGGTAGGGTTGGTGTAGGGCAATAGAAATACGGTTTGTACAGTATAAAAACCATTACGCCTATGGAGAGTCCCCATAAACCATAAAAACAAACCTGTGTGTGTTTTTGTATTTTAATATATATATATATAGAGAGAGAGAGAGAGATGAATTATCAATTTATACAAATATGCATATTATATTGTATACTACTAGTATTTGTTATTTTTAAGATTTTAAACTAGATTTCCGTGTGTTAAAACAAATAAAACTGTACTGTAATTATGTACATTTATAATACCAGAAATATCTATTTTATTCATATTTGATTTTTAAAATATTTATTTTAGCTATTATATATGTGTCACGGTTCATGGGTCCGGACGGTCTTTCTGCGTCTTGTCATGTGCTTGTATGTGCGTACGTCACTCGTTAGTGGTTGCAGCTGGTGCTCAATCAGAGCGTGCCAGCTGCAACTCGTTAGCGAGCCCTTTATAGGCCACTCTGTTCAATGTGTGTTTGTCGGTTCGTTATTCTCATGTTCCTGTCTCCCTGTCAGTTCTCTGTTTCCAGTTCTCGCTCAGTCAGGGTACGGATCTTCAGCCTTCTCCTTGGTTTGGTCCAACGCAGTGGTTGAAGGGATTTCTCCGTGGAGCTCTGATTCCGACCAGGACCCGAGGATTATCTCTTTGTGTCTCCGTTATTGTGATTACTGAATAAACCTTACCTTTGCACTCGCACTTGGATCCTGACTCTACTCTGCCGTGACAATATGTGTGTGTGTGTGTGTGTGTGTGTGTAAAAATGTGTGTGTATATATATATGTAAATATAAAATTTCACTTTATTTCATTAAAGTGAAATTACTTAACCTACACATATACACATAGGAGCCTGAGGAAAATGCTCATTTTAGAAGAAAATTTCAAATGGCGCTTAGAGGCTTTTGCATCTGAACTCTTCATATATATAAACATATATATAATTAAGGGTTTTAAATTCCATATTTCCAAAGTGTATGTTAAAAACTAATAATTTTTTTTTGCATCAAATCGAAGTGTCAGTTATGTGATCGGTTGAATGGTTGAGATAACTAGCAGGGATAAGAGTTTGGTCACATCACGTGTTTATTGTTTGAGCTGGGTCATCACAGTAATCTCACAAGCTAGTTATCAATTGTTAGAGCACGTGAATCCCTGTAACCTACTGGCTTTGTAATTGATCGATTCCTCTGTTGTGCCTCTTCATGCAGTGAGTCTTCATATCTCATTAACCACAGACAGAACAAGGGGCACGTTTGACCTTGTACTGAGGTTGTGGGGCCAAATTCTGACCCAAACACAAGTATGAGCACCCAATGACCCATAAATCCCTTTTTTAACACATCAACACATTACATTTTTCCTGCTACAAAGATATTATATACATATTTTCTCATTTTAAGGACAGAAGACATCTAGAGAGATGTTTTGCAAAATGTTATGTTCTGCAGATGAAAATGAACTACATTTAATCACCCATAGTAATGTAGAACAAAGGACTTTTTGAGCTATAGTTAATCCTAATCACAGATTTCTTATTATTTAACTGACAACAGCTTGTCAATAACAAAGACTCTCATTATAGTAGAGCAATACAAATGGCCAGATGCCTTAGAGAGGCTAAGTAACCCTGACCACAGATCTAGACCATGTAATCAACTAATTAAACCTCCAACTTTAATCTAGTGTCTTTGCAGTAATCGTTTTTGTGCTGTTCTGAAGGCAGTTTCAAAATAAAGCATATGTGACCCTGGACCACAAAACCAGTCATAAGGGTCAATTTTTTGAAATTGAGATTTATACATCATATGAAAGCTGAATAAATAAGCTTTCCATTGATGTATGGTTTGTTAGGATAAGACAATATTTGGTAGAGATACAACTATTTGAAAATCTGGAATCTGAGTGCAAAAAAAAAATCAAAATATTGAGAAAATCGCCTTTAAAGTTGTCCATATAAAGTTCTTAGCAATGCATATTACTAATCAAAACTGAAGTTTTGATATATTTACTGTAGGAAATGTACAAAATATCTTCATGGAACATGATCTTTACTTAATATCCTAATGATTTTTGGCATAAAAGAAAAATCTATAATTTTGGCCCATACAATGTATTTTTGGCTATTGCTACAAATATACCCCAGCGACTTAAGACTGGTTTTGTGGTCCAGGGTCACACATGTGAAACAGGGATTCTTGGCTGGAGTGGTTCTGCTAAACACTGTGGGATGAGTTGCTAATGAACTCCACTAGACAATGTAACGGACTCCCATGGATGTGGGCCTATTGCGTAACAATGATAGAAAGTTGCAGAACAAAGAAGCTCTAGGAGAACTTTATCTGCTAAACACTGTTTATCATCCACTTCTGGATATTTCCATTATATTATCCAGTGTTATTCGATCAGCAAATCCCATCTCAAACAGAATTAGCCTATTCTAGAAACCTTCTGGAACAATTCTTGTTGATTTTTTTCATAGTTATTGTCCTCTAACATCAAGTAAATTCTACAAACACTACATTTGCACAAAATGAGTTCAGAAACATCATTCATATTTTTATATAATTCATATTATGCACTAGGTAATATGAAATGAGTATTTGATCATTGTTACTGAACAACGATTTTAATACTGTTTATCTATATACAATATTCATATTTTATTATTTAATATGAATAAACAGAATTATGTGTGTGTGTGTGTGTGTGTGTGTGTGCGTGTGTATGTATAATTATATCATATTATATAAAGAAGACATCTAAAATAAAATATAAATTTTTAAGCCAGCTTTGCAAAAAATATATTTCTGCTACACACTTTATAAACAAAACCAGGCCTAAAGTACTGTACATAAAGTGGCATCATCAAATGCAATGATATTTAAAATTTTGTCCAAATACTGTTTGAGCCCACTGTATATGTAGTTTATTATAGATAGGCCTGTATGTTGTTTTATGATATTAAAACTGTATAGGATATAAAGTTAATATATAAGATGCTAAAAGCACATGGTGTTACACAAATACATATTAAACGCATACATTCATATTGTGTTCATCTGCTGTTGAGGGGATCAGGGGCGGGAGGCGTCCCTCTCCTAATCTTCTGAGGGGGTCATAGAGTATAAGAGACCTGTAACCCCTGCACCGCTCCCAAAGAAAGCCGAGCGTTGACATCCACCCCTCCACAGCAGAGACATACATAAGAAACGGTGCAGCTGCACCCAGTCAACAGCCTGTCAATCAACAAACCTGTGAGTGCAACCTTAAAATATTTAAATATCCATAAGGAATGAGTTGTTTTGTAATATGCTGTAACAATGTGTCAAAAGGTCATAATACTCTAAGGTATTATGGGTCTTGAGGAGGATTTGACTGTACACCATGCTACTTATTATATGGGTACTTATTGAATAGTATGAAATATTGATTAGAGTTAAAATATTATGTGAGACAAAATGGACCATAGATTCGTATAACAGACATACAAGGTTGCCTGGGATAAGTCATTTGTACAGTTTATTGATCATTTTGCATAACCACAGAATGCCATAATTGGCCAAACAGAATAATCTAGGAAGTTGTATAATTATATTTATACAATATATCTGTAAAATTTAAACATTTTCAATTGAACAATTTAAATTAATCATAAATTGATTATTTTTATTAACACTGTTTAACTGGATAGGCCATATGCACTGAAAAATGTAGTAATATTGTTTAATATTGTGTTTAATTAAAGTATATATATATTTGTGTGTGTGTGTGAGTAGTGGTTAGATATTCTGAGGACAAGACAT